GGCCGCAACGTCAGTGTCAATTACCTGTAAAAATTCGTCTATGTGAAACTTGGAAAAATAATTTGTTTAATTTTTTTAGTGAATTAAATGGTAAAAAGCGAACGGCACGCTTGACAGTGATGGGCTCCCAACTTCGAAACCGCACGAACTAGGAACGTCAAATTTTGACAGTTTGTAGACGAAACGTTAATGTCAATTAATTAAAAAGGATGGAACCAATTGGTTACTTACTCATGCTCTTAGGCATGAAAGTTGCGTCGAATTTGCAAAATTTTGGGAGAATATTGACTGATCGAGATTTTCATCGAATGTGAAGTGGAGTTTTGCATCTGATTTCGCCCATAATTGATTACTTAGTCATGCTCTCAGTGCAACAAGGATGCGTCAACTTCATAAAAATTTTGAAAAATCTTTCCTATTGGAGATTTGCGTGCGCATTCTTGCCATGATTTGCACAGCATTTTGCACTTAGTCATGCTCACAGCACCAAAACCCTAGCCTCAGTTGCTCAATTTTTAACCCATTTTTTCCATTTAAGGTGACTAAAACACCATGACCAGGCCGAAATCAATCGCCTGGATCGATTGCGATCTACAGCAGCCGCCCAGCCTGGAAGACCTACTAACCGCACGGCCGGCCGGACTGGACGAGTCCGAAACCTGGGCCATCCTCAGCCAGAGCATCCAGGCGCTTCAGGATCTCTTTCTATCGGACGGCGCATCGGGCAAGCACTCCATACCGCTCATCACCCCAGCGGCGCTCCACTTCACCGCCAGAGGGCGCGTCAAACTCACCCCGAGCTCCACCTCGCTTCCGGCCTGCAAACTGCTCAACCATCTGGCGCCCGAATACAAAGCCACCAAAACGTTCAGCGACTGCGAGTATGAGAAAATGTGGATTTTCTCGCTGGGCGCCACATTGAAACGGGCTGCCGCTGTCGCCCTGGCGACCAGTCCACTTTGGCAGGTACTGTCAAACATGACCAATCAGCTGCCGGCGGGCAGGAGCTCGCTGATGGATTTGCTGGACTTAATGGCGGCGCATTGCCACGATCGGCCGTTTTCCCATGTTGTCATGGATCTGCAGCAGGAGGCGCTGGCCGCCATGGAAACCTCGAATGAGTTGCTGTGGGGACCGCCGGCCATGCAGCAGGAGCAGAAGGAGCAGCACCTGCCCCGATGCCATGCGAAGCGGCGCGGGTTGAAAGTGCGCTGCAACCCGCTGCAGCGGGTCGCGTCGCGACTCTACAGCGTGGAGTCGCGCCCCGTTTGCCTAGAGGGCGCATGCGTCGGTCCAGAGTTTGTCATCCGCGCCGCGTTGCCGGCGCGGAAGTTGGTCCTGAGTGCCAGTAAGCACCAGGTGACGGTGGTGCTGCTGGACGGACAGCGCCTGGAGGTGAGCTGCAACCCGGCCAGCACCACGCCGGACCAGCTGCTGCGGCTGGTGTTTGCGCAGGAGCGCATCGAGGAGAACTTCCTGCTGGGCCTGTCGGCGCTGATTGCCGGCGATTTTGTCTTCGTCCCGTCCGACACGCGGCTGGAGAAAGTGCTGGCGCCTGGCGGGTGTTTGTATGTGCGCGTGCGCTTCTTCCTGCCGTCGCTGCGCGGGCTGCGCAGCCCCCAGACGCGCCACCTGCTCTACCTGCAGCTGCGCCGCTCGCTGCTCGAGCACCAGCTCCCCAGCCCGTTCTCCCAGATCGTGCGCCTCACGGCGCTGGCGCTGCAGGCGGAGTTCGGCGACTGCGACCCCGCCAGGGGGCGCGACTATTTCCTGCTCGAGCACTACGTGCCCGAGACCATGATCAGTTTGGCGCAGGACGAGCGCCGGCTGAAGCAGGAACTGGCGGGGGCGCATGCGGCGCACCAGGGCCTGGCCCGCGCCGTTGCCGAGGATCGATTCATCAGCTTGGCGCAGTCGCTGCCGCACTACGGCGGCCACTTCTACAGCGCGGTGTGGGCGCGGCCCGACCGCGCCCGCCTAGAGGCGTGGCTCTACATAAACGCGCATGGCATCTGCCTGTACGAGCGCGGCCGCACCGTCAGCCACTGCGCCCCGCAGCTCTACCAGTCGTTCAAGTGGCGCGACATTCAGACGCTGTGCTACAGCAAGCACGAGTTCACGGTGGTGCCGCGCAGCGGCCCCCCCTTTAGCCCGAAGTACAAGGTGAAAATGGCGCAGAAAAAGAGCTACTACGCGTTTCGGCTCGCGTCGCTCCATCATCAGTTCTTCCTGGAGTTGCGCAGCCAGTTCATGTCGCTGCAGGCGCTTGGCCGGCAGTTCGGCGTGCCGCTCAGCGACCCCACCAGGCCCGTCTGTCGCGAGGAGCGCCAGAACAAGGAGAACGAAAAGCCGCAGGAGCCCCGCAGGGGCGTAAAGATGGGCACCAAGGCATTCGCGGGGGGACCCCCACGCGCCAAATCTCTCAGCCTGGAGCGCCTGTCCCTCAGCTCGCTCTCCTTCCACTGCAGCTCCACCTCCCTGTCCAGGGACTCAGAGGGCGACGCCTTCGTGCTCGACTCCACCCTAAGGTCGCAGGCGCAGCTCAACATCCTGCCGGATTTCCAGGAGAGCATCAGCGCCACCTTCCAGGAGCGGCTGGACGCCATGTCGTTTGCGGAGGAGCGGCTGCTGAGCAGCGTGTGGATCCAGCGCGACTCAGAAGAGGGGAGCTTGGGGCTGCAGGTGACTGAGGGTTCGGACGGCAACGTTTACATCCAGGCGGCCAGTCGCACGCAGGCCGTGCGACCGGGCGACCAAGTGGTGGCTGTCAATGGGCTGTCACTGCTGGGGCGCAAGTACGCAGACTCATTGGAACTAATGAAGAACGCCCGGGGACCAGTGGAGTTTGTGCTCAGTAGGGTAGTTTCTGCTCGGAGCCCAGTAGTGGGGGGCGGGGCGCCGGTGGCGCCATCTCGCGACCACGACAAGGCGGTGATAGTGGAAATGATCCCGAAAAAGAACCTGATTTCTGTGGGGAATGGTTACGTGAAAAAGGCGCAGCCGCTGGCGGTGCCCCGGAGTTTGGGGTTGGGGCGCCGATGGAACGGCCCGGTCCGTTACCCCGTCACACCCGTTAAAAATCCTGGGGAGGGAGCCGACGCCGAAACGTCTGAGGATGAGCAGGTTTTTATCTAGAGCGATTTTCCCAAGTGTGCAGGACAAGGACAGCGACACTCGCAGCAGCAACGTGCTTTGTCTGACTTAGGTAGTCATGCTCTTAGCCGAAGGCAAACATCCGAAAAATGTGGGTACGTTCTCAGACAAAAACTTTTTGCAAACGCGGTTTATTCGCTTCTGGGACATCTGCCTTAAATCGCAAATTTTATGTGTTTGTCATGCTCTTAGTGAGTCGGAGTTTCAAATGAACTGAAATGATAAAAAATTGTAATTTAATTTTAAAAAAAATTTGTAAATATTATTGACTATTTTTTTTCCTTGTCAATTCCGCATTTCCGCGTCAATTCTGTTGCATAGTCATGCTCGTAGCCGACGGCAAACAACCGAAACATGTTAATACGTTCTTTGGCAAAAACCTTCTGCAAGCTCACTGTTTTTCATTTTGAAAAATCCGCCGTAAATTATCCAATTTTATTTTTTAGTCATGCTCTTAGTGTCTTTGAGTGGAGAATGTATTCAAGTCACTAACAATTTTCAGCGCATTTTATTGATTCAATGTTTTTATGCCTATTCCGCATTGGAACGCGAAATTTTAATGCATGGTCATGCTCTTAACCATAGTCAAACAACCGAAACGTTTTGGAAATATTTTTAAAATTTTCAGTAATTGAATTTTAATGGACCTTTTCCATCTCGGATCGACCCAATTGGTTACTTAGTCATGCTCGTAGACATCAAAGGTGCGTGGAATTTGCACATTTTTTGGAAAATCTTGAGTGGTCAACATTTCGATGTGCATTCTTCGGAAAATCGCCCAAATGTTTGACTTAGTCATGCTCTTGGAACGCGAAATTTTATTGCATAGTCATGCTCTTAGCCGACGGCAAACAACCGAAACATGTTGGTACATTCTTTGGCACAAAGCTTTTGCAAACGCACTGTTTTCAATTTGGAAAAATCCGCCTTAAATCAGCCAATTTAATTTTTAGTCATGCTCTTAGTGTGTCTGAGTGTAGAATGTATTCAAAACCCTAACAATTTTCAGCGAATTTTATTGATTCAATGTTTTTATGCCTATTCTGCATTGGAACGCGAAAATTGCATAGTCATGCTCTTAGCCGACGGCAAACAACCGAAACATGTTCTTTGGCAAAAACCTTTTGCAAACGCACTGTTTTTGATTTTCAGAAATCCGCCTTAAATCACCCAATTTTATTCCTCAGTCATGCTCTTAGTGCGATAAAATTCAATTTAAATTTTTCACATTTGCGAGGAATTTTGGGTTGATTGAAGAGTTGATGAGAACTATGACTTTGAGCGCTCAACTTATTTATTTAGTCATGCTCTTAGTGTACCACAAAAATCGAAATTTGAAGGCATTTTCTCTGTTGAACTAAACAAATTAATTGCTTAGTCATGCTCTTCGGCATCAAAGTTCCGTCAAATTCCCACAATTTTTAGAAACTCTTGACTGATCGAGATTTGTATGTGCAGTCTTGGTTAGATCGGTCAAATTTTTCACTTAGTCATGCTCTTAACCCAACGAATACTTTGTAAAATTAGTAGTGCCTTTAAAAATCTTCTGTAATCGACACTTTAAGGAGCTTTGTATTTTAGGTCGCCCAAAATTGATCACTTAGTCATGCTCTAAGACCTCAAAGTTGCGAAAAGTTTGAAATTTTTTTAGAAAATCGTGACTGATCGACATTTGCATGTGCATTCTTGGTTGGATCGCCAAAATTTTTCACTTAGTCATGCTCTTAGACATCAAAGTTGCGTAAAATTTTAAATTTTTTTAGAAAATCGTTACTGATCGACATTTGCATGTGCATTCTTGGTTGGATCGCCAAAATGTTTCACTTAGTCATGTTCTTAGACATCAAAGTTGAGTAAAGTTTGAAATTTTTTTAGAAAATCKTTAATGATCGAGATTTGGATGTGCATTCTTGGTTGGATCGCCAAAATTTTTCACTTAGTCATGCTCTTAGACATCAAAGTTGCGTAAAATTTGAAATTTTTTTAGAAAATCGTGACTGATAGAGATTTGCATATGCATTCTTGGTTGGATCGCCAAAATTTTTCACTTAGTCATGCTCAAGAAAAAAAATGTTGACTGCAATAAAACGGTCCAATTTAATTTTTTTTTGGTGCGCCAGTTTATTGTTGAATTTTTCATTTTAAACTGTCATTAATATATCAATTTGTCATCGTAAATTATACGGGGAAAGCTGCCAGTGCTGTGAGAGAATAGAAGCTTTTTTATGGGCGTTGAAACCCTGCATTCAACGGCGTGCGCAAAATCGCTCCACTGTTGGTAGTTTTGTAGATTTTCGGGTATTTTTCTAATAAAGTTTTTGGGGTTTTTTTGAAAACCGTTCATGTTGGGGGTTTGAAAAAAATACCAAAGAGTTCCTTTGAACAGCGCGGATCTTTTGTGGAGAATGCGTTTTTTTGATTGGAAGCTCCGTTTTTTTATTAAAAACCGAAATGCCAAAATAGTGACTGTTATGAGATGGTAAATAGTCAAAAATATATATATTTTTAAAACATGCCAAGTAGTATTTTTTTCCTCAAAGTGATTTTAGCAAACCAATTTTAGAATCGTGTCTTTTGCGATTTTGCAGTCGATAATTTAATTTTTGGGAAAATATTTTAGCTAAAAGTTTGCGTAAAGCAATTATACCAAAAATAAAACACCCAAATAAATTTCAAAAAATCCTAATTACTAGGAAAAAACACTCACTAAACCTGGCAACGCCGCGCTCACTAGTTGACGTCGCCCAGTCATAGTGTCGGTGGTTCTGTCACTCAACACACACGAAATTTTTCAATCATTTAACAGTTTTTTGATTCAAAACGATTGGCCGTGACCTCAACGCTCTCCATGGAAACGGTCTAATTTTGAAACTTTAATTTTGTTGTGTGCAAATTTGTTCTTCCAAATAATTTCGCGCGTTAAGTGTCAAAAATAAGTTAATTTTAAGGTGTCAATTCTTCACTGCATAACGCAATGAGTGATTGGGAGAAAGACAGCAACACCCATAAGAACAAGGGACCTTGTCTGGCGCACTAATAAAATGGGTCGCAAGGCGAATAATTCCTTGTAGCTCGTTCAGCTTTCACTTTCAGAAAAAAATAATTTGAAGCTTTTTTATGAGCGTTGATCCCCTGCATTCAGTGGCGTGCGGAAAATCGCCTCGTGTGGGTAGTTTTGGCGATTTTTTTGTTTTTTCTAACCAAATTTTTCGGCTTTCTGAAAAAGGTTTATGTTGGGATTTTGAAAAAATACCCATGAATCACACTCAACTACTCGGATCTTTTATGGAGAACGCATTTTTTCGATTTGAAGCTCCGTTATTTTATAAAAAACCGAAAAGTCAAAACAGTGCCTGTTGTGAGGTTGTAAATAGTCGGCAACGCCGTCTCAATAGTTGACAGGATTTGAACCATAGTGAAGGTGGTTGTGTCAGAATCAACTTCTTCTTTGTAAGTTTTTGCCACGTAGCTGGAACACAGTTGCCAGATGGTCTGAAAGGTAGCATAGAGCGTTAAATGCAATGGATGTGGAGTGGTGCAGAAGAGGTTTTCCATAATTCGCAGTTTTAATTTTTCTGGGCAAAAGCAAAATTCTGAGCTGTTAATGCTTCGCTGCAAAACTCACCCAACAAGTGGGAGAAAGACAGCTACTCCCAAAACACCAAACTTCTTTGTCTAGCACACTCATAAAAATTGCCTAAAGCTGAATAATCTCTTGTAGTTCATTCATTATTCATTTGGGGCAAAAAATGTTTAGACAGTTTTTATGGACATTGAGCCGCTCTTATCAGTGGCGTGCGGAAAACCGCTCCTGCCTTGTTGGTTTTTGGAGATTTTATGACGTCAAGGTTTATGACGTTTGGACAAAATGGTTTGACTAAGATTTTTTTTTATTTCATTGCGTCCCTTTCGGCAATTCCCACCTTTGATGAAGAGTGCATTTTTTTCATCGGATGCTCCGTTTTCAAGAAAAAAACCCAAATGTGAAAATAATACTTAAGCAAATAGTCGATACTTAAATTATTTAAAATATATATACCGAGTTGCAATTTGTTTGCTTAAAGGAATTTTTGGGACAAAAACTGTTAAACACTTGAGCAAGCTCGTTGTCTGGTGAGTAAGACAAAGACAGCTTCACCCATAAGAGCAACGGCCTTTGTCTGGCACACTATTAAAATTTGGTCTGGAAGCGAATAATTTATAAACCTTGTAGGTCGTCTATTATTCACGCTATGGAAAAAGCGCATAAAAAAGTTTTAATGGACGTTGAGCCCGTTTATCCAGTGACGTGCTCGAAATCGCTCCAGTGTTGATGATTTTGGAGATTTTTTGGGTTTTTTCTTGAAAGCGCGATTTTTCATAGTTTTTGCGAAAACCGTCGAATTTGGAATTTTTCAAAAAATTTGCACTTGTGTGGTTTGACAACCCCGATGTTTTATCAAGAACGCATTTTTTTGATTGGAAGGTCCGTTTTTAAGCCAAAATCTAAATCGTGTCTTTTAAGAATTTGTAAAGATTCTCGAATATAGTTTGTTTTGAACAGACTTCCAGGGAGTTGTTTCTTTGCATAAAAGATTTCTTCCAGAAAAAACTCCTAATTACTTAGAAAATTCAACTCACTGGACCTGGCAACACCGCCCTCACTAGTTGAAAGGAGAAATTTTTACATAATTTAACAACTTTTTTATTTAAAACTATTAGCTTCTACCTCAAAGCGCGACAGATTTTTTTGTGTGTTTAAGGTGAAGGACAAATTAATTTTAAGTTGTCACAGCTCATTCAGTGCACAACTCATTCAGTGAGTGGAAGAAAGACAGCTACACCCACAAGAGCAAGGGGCTTTGTCTGGCGCACTAATAAAATGAGTCGCAAGGCGAACAATCCTTTGTAGCTCGCTTATTATGTATTTTAGCGAAAAAGCTGATAGAAGCTTTTTTATTGGCGTTGAGCCTCCTGATACGATGACGTGGACAAAATCGCTCCGCTGTTGGCGGTTTTGGAGATATTTCCTGGAAAACCGGATTTTGGACGTTTTTGCCAAAATCAATAGGGCTGGAATTTTTGAAAAATTCTCACTGTGTACCTTTGGACGCCCCCGATGTTTTACGGAGGATGATGTGTTTGATTAAAATCTCGGTTGTTCAGAAAAAAACAAAATATCCAAAAAGTAGCTTTTTCAAATTTTTGGGCTGTCGATAAAGCAATTATTTAAAGACACATGCCGATGCGTGCATTGTGTGCCCACCCCCTTATATAATTTGGCGAAAAAAAGACAATCAGGGAAATAAAAAATCTCCTAAGTGCCCAAACCGTCCCGTTGCCTGGTGAGTGAGACAAGGACAGCCATCCGCGCGCTAAGCAGCACGCGACTCCCCAAGCTTTCCTGAAATACAATTAAAGAAAAAACACGCTAAAACTCCTTCTGTGGCGCGTAATAAAAACAAATGATCAACCAAACACACAAAAATAGAAAATTTACGTTAAAAAACCAACTGACTGGGCCTGGCAACAGCGCAACCACCAGTTGACGCAAGTTGACACAACTCAACATTTGTGACTTGTCTTTATCTATGTTTGTGAGGTTGGATCTGTCAGAAGTAACTTTTTCGCGAGTTATTTACCCTTTTGCCACTGTTTCCTCGAA